CAAGATCTCAAGCTCAAGATCGGTTTGAACCGCAAGGTCAGTGATTCAAACTCACCAGCCGTTCCTAGGAAACTCTATACAGGGTCGCTATAAATTGGAACCAGCACTTAACAACAACAAATCTTTATGGGAGCAGAACGCCTCTTTTTTCTCCTGATGAGTGGCTGGTAGTTTCGAACTGCTGACCTTCTGGTTAGCAAATCAATGAGTAACCCAGAAGGAACATTAAAATAGATTTCAGATAGGGAGTGTTCTAAAAGCATGCGCCGTAAGCTAGTGAATAGAATCAGTTGGATTACATTACTCTACAAAGTAGACTGGATAAAATGTGTCTCCCTGAAATGGTATAATCCTTTTTAACTTGCCACATTATTTTATCATAGATATCTACTATATATAGCTATTTATATGATTAAATGTTTGACAACTCCCATATATTTTAATTGATATCATAAGCACTTCATTATTATTATTTTGTGTGTTGGGTTACTTTCTGTTGTTGAATTCTAATAATGATAATTTGTTGTTGTTGTTGTTAAGTGCCATCGAGTCGGTTCTGCCCCATAGCGACCCTGTACAGGGTTTCCGAGGGTGTAAATCCTTACGGGAGTAGAAAGCCTCATCTTTCTCCCGCAGAGCGGCTGGTAGTTTCGAACCGCTGACCTTAAGGTTCGCAGCCCGATTCGTAACCACTACGCTAGCAACCATTTATTGTATTTTGATTATATGCAAGATTTTATGCTAGTAGTTGCTTTATAGACATCTTTCATAATCTTGCTGTTAGATATAATTCAGTTTTATAAAAAAATTCACCCAAAGTATATAGCTAAAAAGTGAATGAATAACCACCGAGATCTTCCTATTACAGTCTCCCTCCAAGTTTAGAAAGGGTTGCTGAGTCAATACGCATATAAATAAATATTTAAGGCACTTGTAATAACTAGTCTAGTGCATCCTGCATGACAATAGCTTTTAAGTCCATGAATTTGGCTATTCTATGGACTCCTGGTATGATCTACATGTTTTCTAAATGCACTTAGTTGGTTTGAACCACAAGGTTGGCAGTTCAAACTCACCAGCTGCATCTTGGAAATTCTATACACGGTTGCTCTGGGTCAGAACCGACTCAACAGCTCTTAATAACAACAACAACATACATACATACCTTCTGTTGTTGTTAGGTACCATTGAGTCTACATTGACATACCAGGACTCTAACCATGCCACTTACCATTTTAACATAGACCTTTATTGCAACATCCCTTCTAGGAGAAAGACCATGCTCTCTAGCTGGAGCTATCAAACCCTTCCCACTCTAAACACAATCCATTTTTGCCAGCCACATCTTCAATCATCTCTCTCCAAATTGCCAGTAGCAGAATCATGTTGAGTTACAAGAATTTTCAGACCATCCCACCCCTTTCCTTTTGTATATTCCTTCTTTCTTCTTGAAATGCCAACAACAACTTTTATTCATTTTATTTTATGACTCATAGGACATTTTCAAGGTCCATGAAGACAAGAAATACATTTTTTAAATCATCGAATCTCCATATCCGTGTCTGGTGACTAGTAGGTTTCAATAAACGTTTGTTTTACATTAGTTCAAGATAAGATATCATGTCTTCTTTTTTGGAAAATCTCCCTGAAGTCCAGGAAAAGTTGTTCTCTCTTCTTTATGCTGCCTTGATGTTTTAGGCACACTCCAATTGCTATATTGTTACACAATGAAATTATTTGTTTCCATAATTTGCAATCTCTGGGACTAAACTCTGAGGTTCTGGGTTGCAGAGACTAAGTCTTACTCATACTTGAATTCTTAACATCCAGCATAGGGCCTGGTTTATGGTAAATTTGCATAGATTTCCTGGAACTGAGAATGTAATTCTAAAGTAATCACGTGAGGTGAGCAGGGTGGATGTTATGCTTCTTACTTTACAAATGAAGAAACAGAGACCAAGGAAGAAAGAAAAAAATGCCTTGATTCAATTTCCATTTGAAATTAAAGGCCCACCCAGGTCTGAAACATAGGCCTCCAACTCATAATTATTAGAAAACATTGATGTTGGCCACTGAACAGAGGAAGCTAGCTACCTACTTTCTGACTTATCAGCAGACATTGCCTCAGTCTGTTACTCAGGCAGGGACAAAGGCACAGAATGTCATCTTGGAACAAGGCTGGATTAAGGGACATTGCTCAGCAGTAGTGATCACAGTATAGATGTAAACATGGGCTTGTGGAGAATGGGATGTGACATGAGATGTGTCAGGAGGCAGGAGGCCACTTTTTAACCTTCTTTTCAAACTGTGGTAGCCTATTGTCCATTTAGTGTCTTGTCTCTCTTTCTGGCTAACTTCCAAGGAACTCTATCACTAGAATGACTCAGGTTGTTCCAGTAGGCAGGCATAATTATAAATAGCTCCCCTGTTCACTCCAAAGGGTCTACTATGGGAGATATAATATAATGGTCACCCTGTTTATCTCTCTCCTTTTCCTCTTCCCATTAGAAATTAAGCATATATGCCTGCACAAACTTGGAGAGCTCTAAGAATTTTCTAAACGCCCTGTTCCCAGTCCCCTGATTTTTTTCTTCCTAGTTTTCCTCTTTTTTTTCTTTTCTTTTCTTTAAATTTGTTTCCAATGTATGGAAGACCAGATTTTTTATTGAATCTTTGTTGTTGTTAAGTGCCGTGGAGTCGGTTCAGACCCATAGAGACCCTGCATAGGGTTTCCAAGGAGCAGCTGGTGAGCTTGAACCACCAACCTTGAAGTTCAAACCGACTTTGCAGTCCAGCGCATTAACCCACAGCAAACACACCAGGACTCCTTTTATTGACTGTTGCTGTTGTTTGTTGTTAAGTACTGTGGAGTCGGTTCCGACTCATAGTGACACTGCACAGAGTTTCCAAGGCTGCAAATCTTTACGGTAGCAGAAAGCCTCATCTTTCTCCTCCGGAACAGGTGGTAGTTTCAAACTGCCGACCTTGAGGTTAACAGCCCGATTCGTAACCACTACGCTATGACTGGGGTACATTAAATTGAGGCTGGAGTTCCAAGACTGCTTGCGTTCAAGCCCCTGTGTTCCTGCATTCATATTCAAGAAAGCCAACTGGAAATTTCTCAAGTAAATTAAGAATGATTCAGGGGTTAAACTGCAGTTCTTTCCGTACTTTCAGTATTGAATGCATTTGCGGTTCCCATGTGAAGGGTTAAGACAGGAGGACAAGTGAAATTAAGCATTTTGGCTAAGAGCCAACTGCACTCAAGGTGTGGGTGCAAACGTTTGTCTCATTTGGCTTCCAGGGACCTTTGGGCACTGCCTTGGGAAGAGAAGAATTAGGGATTAAATTTGGCCTGACTCAAACTGGATGGAGAGAGATAATGAAACTAGGTCTTGAAACTCTAGGCAGCAAGACTGATGCAAGCACTTTCTTCAAAAACAGAACAAACTCCTCCCATTGCAACATCTGAGCAGAGGTGGCCCATGGTTCAGAGGATGCCTGTCTTACTGGTTAAAAAAAACAAACAACAAAACACACACACACAAACCCGTTAGGAAGATGAACTACATACGGAAGAAGTGCAGTGCACTTCGCGCTGCTAGGTTGCGTGGGAGACATGGGTAGGTAGACAGCACCCTACAACTTTTGCCCCGACGCTTCCAGTCCGGTTGCGCTAGCCGTACAAAGCCGGCGGAGGCGTTCCCAACCCGCCCTCTCCTGAGGTCAGTGAGCTCTCTCACAAAGACTCACCGGGTGTGAGCCGCGGAAGGATATTGCACTTTGTTTACCTCACCCAGGGCCCAGCGAGCCAGTAGCTATGCTAGAGCCCGGCTTCCCAGACCCGGGAGTTGCAATTGCTATTGCAGCCGCCGCGCCGCCAGCTCGCTGAGGGGAGCCGCTGGAGGACTGGCAGCGGCGAGGCTGATTGATGGGAGCAGGACTCAATGAGGGGGGCCCGGGCTGGGGGAGATGGGGCGGGGCCGGCTGTGGTCTGAGCCAGTCCGGGGTGCCGCGGGAGGGTAAGGGAGGGGGGATCGAGGCGGGAGGCTCCGTGGAAATGTGTCGGTGACATTGAATGGAGAGACTCAGTGCGAGCGAGGCGCGCGCGCGCACACACGCGCACACACAGCCCCGCTCACTCCGAGATCCCCGGCCACGTAAGTAACTATTAATACCGCCTCGCCGGGAGATGCGGGTTTGCTGAGCAAGGGGATTGGTCTTCGGGATCGTCCGCCATCCCCTTTAATTTTAAAATACACATTCCTTTCTTACCTTTGGTGGGAGGGGGGGGGGAAGAAAGAAAGAAAGAAAAAAAAGCCCACAACAAAAGAAGAAAAGCTGTCAATTTTTTTTAAAACAAAACCGCCAGGAGCATTTAGGTTTCGGGTAGGAAAAGGAGTGATTGCAAATTATCCCAAGGCAAGATCCAGTTATACAGCGGGAAAGAGACGCCTCGAGTTGGCGGGGTTGTTGGTGCATCACCTTGAAACGCCGGGAAGACCCCTGGAGGCTCGTGCCGCGGAAATCGGAGACCATTGATCAGCCGTTGTCCTGGACCGCGTTTCTAGCTTTATTCAGAAGACTTGGAGAGTGTACGGGAGGGTGGAAAGCAAGGCGACAGCGGCATGAGCTTTTGCTGACCCTCCGCACGGCGGGCCAAGCCCTGGGATTTGTCGCGGTACCTGCGCCTGGCCCATTCCGTAACTCTCTGCCCAGGTTTTGCAATCTTTTGTTGGCAGCGCTGACCGCTCCAAGTTAAATGCTCCCTCGTAATTTTTTTTTGTTTTGTTTTGTGTAATTTTTGGAGCGCGCTTGCGATCTTGGAAAAGACTCATACGCCATCTACAGTTAAAACGTAGGTAACTACCCTCTCCGGCACCCCCCTCGCTTCCACGCCCCCCACCCTTGCCTTTCCACCAAAAAAGGGGGTGCAGCACTGATTGTGTCTGCGGTGCGTCGCGAGCCGGTAGACTCGTGCTTATTTCCTTTTTCTTTTTGTTTGGTGTCTAACGCTTTGAGATTAAACCTCCGCTGTGGACTCTGCGAAGACTGCACAAAGTATTGTAAGGCTTCTCCCGTCTGTGATTGGAAAGCCTGATGTGGGGATCTCTTCAGGAAACCCGGAGCTGCACCTCCCCACCTTAGCAATTCGGGTACTCTTCTAGATCCACGTTGGGAAAAAAAAAAAACAGAGAGAAACTAAAAGTGAGGCGATTCTACAGATCGCCGGCTGCTCTGGAGTAACAAAAGGACCCGAGTTGCCGGCCAGCCGAGTACTCACTCCTGGGAACCAGGTTCAGAGCTGACAAGGTGCCCTGCCGCACTCATTTGTGGTCTTCCAACTACTTCACGTAACCCTTTTCCCGCCCCCTCCCCTCTCATCTTCCTTTTAAATTCGTGACACCGAGGCGCCTGCAGCCGCACTCGCCTGCGACTTATCTCGCCAGCGGGTTTTTTTGTTTGTCGTGTGTGCTCCCCACACTCATGAACATACACAGGTCTACCCCCATCACAATAGCAAGATATGGGAGATCGCGGAACAAAACCCAGGATTTCGAAGAGCTGTCGTCTATAAGGTCCGCCGAGCCCAGTCAGAGTTTCAGCCCGAACCTCGGCTCCCCGAGCCCGCCCGAGACTCCGACCTTGTCGCATTGCGTTTCTTGCATCGGGAAATACTTATTGTTGGAACCTCTGGAGGGAGACCACGTTTTTCGTGCCGTACATCTGCACAGTGGAGAAAAGCTGGTGTGCAAGGTAAAGAGCCCGGGGGCGTTTTTTGTTTTTGCCTTTTAAACCACCCTTTGAAGGGGACCGGAGGTGGGGCAGCAGGTCACCAAGCTCTCCAGTCAGGGGGAGGGAGTTTCGCGGAATAATTATCCGCATCCTTGCTAAATGGGCTTATTTATTTATTTGTTCATGTTCGACTAGTTGTGAAGTTTTCAGACCGTTTCAGACAATGGGGCGGGTTGCGGCGGGGGCGTTTTGGGGAGAGCCCAGGGCGGGGGAGCGGCGGGGCTGCGCCGGAGCCACGGACACGCGTGTTCCGAAAGGCACGGAGAGCGCTTCTGCGCGATGCCGGGTCCCGCAGCCGTAGGGATTTCTGCTTGTTTCTAGCCCCCTCCCTTTTCAACTTGGAAGTAGGGAATCCCCCGCTAATTTAGCCACAGATGACTTGACTCTTAGCCATTGTTCTTAGCAGCATGCAGGTGTTAAACCTTTGTTCCTTAGGTGTCCTTTAAAAGAGACACGTAAAGATATCTATACCCTCTGGCAGAGCCTGGGGGACCACCTTGATGACGGAGTTTACTTAGAGCTTTTCTGTCTAGAACCTGGAAAGAAAGGTTGGAGGGTGGAAATCAAAGCCTTGGGCACACCTTTGGGTGTAGAAAATAGTGAATCCTTTGAGTCTCAGCTTTTCATATCTATACTTGAGTGCCTACCCTCCTCTCTCATCCACCTGAACACACACCTTGGCCTGTATGGTTTAGGGACTAGTATTTGGAGACTCGTGGGATTTCAGGGCTGATAAAGGGATGAACACTTCAGTTTTCTTTTTTTTTCTTTGACCCTGAACCGTGACTGGTTCATGTATGTATGAGTCTGTATGTCTTTGTGTGCTTCCTCTCAGGGCTCCAGACAAGGGGATGAAGAGAATAGTTGCAGGGGGAGGGGGGGGGGGGGAGAGTGTACTGTTTACCCAGGAATTGGACATGGATCAAGAATTCATTGTCTCTTAATTTTAGATTTGCTCTCTATTAGGTTTTTATTTTTGGGGAGTAGGGGAAAAGTGGGGACTCATGCTTCTCTTGAAATTGGCACTCTACACAGATACAATACAAAATAATGCATCACACTTTCAGCATTAATTACAGCCTGTTTTGTGGACTTGCTTTTATCAGATGGCTTTGTGGAATTGCTTTTAATGCTTTATTTCATATGGGACAATAATATTTATTTATTTGTAAAAAATTGAATTTCATGGAGGTCTTTGGTCAGTTTTGAGATTGTTCAGTTCAAACCTCAGGGGGAAATTGGAGACTTCAAAAATATTGCCCTTTGCTTGTACTGATCATTTGGCATTTTGCATCTTCTCCAAGTTATTGAGACGCAGAGCAATTGTGCCTGGTTAACCAAAATTCAGTAGGCTATTCAGAGCTGGTTGAATTCTCAGAAGTCCTGCAATGTTGCACAATAGGATAGTCATCCTTTGAAATGAATGAATTCCACAAAGCTGCCACTCGAATACGAAATATGCACAATCACCCAGCAATGAGTGTTTTCACTCCTTTTCCTCAACTTAAGTAGAGCATTTTAATAATTTTCAAAGACTGAAGATGCTTTTAAATACAGGTGCTCTGTAGCCAATTTTGCAGGATCATCTTGCTTTTATTTCTTTGTTTAAAAGCAATGACACTGACCCCCTTACTCTTTTCTTCTCCCTTCAGATTCTTCAAGACATATGTCTGTTGGGCAGCCCTCACAGTATAATTTGCAAGTTGCTCTCTGGCCTAAAACTGAACTTGATTTGTTGGTTTGGTTATTGCAAAGATTGAATCAGCCCCTCAACAATTACACTGTGGCTTCAAGTGGATTTAAGTGTGTAGTATCATTGTTCTGCTTGACATAGGTCATCCCTTTAAGACACAGCAGCTTCTGTTTTCCTGCCTTTTTTAACTAGAAATGATGTGGATGACTTCTTATGCTAGCAGATTTATATGTATATAACGTATGAAGCTCCAAGTGAGTCTTACAAGGCTGCTTCAATGAACTATCCTGAGATATATACATTGGACTCTTAGCTTACTTCAAGGCTCAGTGAAATCTACACACTGAATCAAGTTCCTTTTGATGTCTCAAAATAGAGTTTATGTCTCCTAGCACTGTGTTGACTCAAGAAAAAAGTCTGCAGAAACAGATTCAATATATAATGCCTTTCAATTATAGAGGTCTGTATAGAGAATTCTGTATGACACTATTTGGAGACAGGGAGGTTCTAGTGCCATTTAAACAAAATAATCAGGCCTTTTTATTGTCAAATACTCCCTACATTTGCTACACAGATGAAGGAAGGGAGCTTGAAGAGATCCTTTAGCTGTATAATTTCCATGGAATTGTTGTTAGCTACTGTGCAGATTGACATAATTACTATCTTGGCAGATTGGGCAACTTCCCCCCCCCCAAATGTTATTAATGATGGACCAATCTTACTGCCTTATCTGAACTGTCACATTATATAACTAAGGCTCCAAATTAAGCATTTAAAAGAAGCTGGCAACTAGGCTTATGGCATGATTTTGCACTTGAAGGTGATGGTTTAAATATCAATCCAAGCCCATAAATGCCTGTTATAGCTACTAATAAAAGTTTGTGGCTCCTTTCCATTTGGGAAAACATTAAGTACATGCTTTATTTTTCATACTCTGTCCACCATCTTGGATTTTGGCATATTTTGCAAAGGGTATGGCTACATTTTGAAGCTGCCATGAATAGATTTGATTATTATTATGAATACTTTTATTTACATTCCATGCCCATCTAATATTTTTAGCTGTGGAGCCAGGATAAAAGTACAGGAAAAAAGAAATCACCGTCTGGTTCTTTTTTTTTTTTTTTTAAATAGAACTTGAAACATTCTGAATAATCATAACTCAATGAGCACTGGAGACAAAAACGGAGTGTAGAGCCCCAGAAGACATCTTCCTCATTATATAATGCATAGTGTTTACATTAGCCACTGCGTTGGCTTTATTCATCTATGAAATTTTTGAGGCTTGCCCGAGCTTCTGTTGCCTGAAGTCAGGGTGTTAAAGTTGACTCAAGCATTTCAGATTCCTAATTGAACAGGCCTCTGAGGTCACTGCTCTTAGGTCATTCTTTGACAGTATCAGGGTGTGATTTGTGGTCTCTGGAGATGGTGAAGTATTCATTCTTAAATTCTAGGTTATAGTGGCACCAGCTGTGCCGCTTTCCTGAGATGCCTCATTATGGTTCATTCACAACGTTACTTTGCTTCCTCGCCCTGGGTTAGCACCAGTTTTCTTGAGGTTCTTGCTATCCCTGTTTGACTCACAGATTTTTTTTTTTAAATCTAGGAGGGACTTGTGGATTCTGAAATGCCAGCTTGTGTCCCTGAATAGGCTTTTGAAGGAAGACTGCAAATCCCCTTAAAATGAATCCAGTATCATGCGTGCATTTGAGAATGGGCGTTGCCAGCTAAAAGGGGGACCATGCTTTTATCAGATTCTCCTGTGGGATCTGGACTCCAAAATTAACAGCGTTCTTAACCATTCTCTTCATTTAATGAAGAGGAGGGAGGGAGGCCGTGTGATCTGAAGTGTTTTATCTAAGACCTTCATTCAGTTCATTGGTAGCAGAGCCAGGATTTAGAGCCTCAAATTCAGTGGTTCTTAGGCCAGCATTTTTTTTTTTCCTGCCATACTGCAAAATGACGACCAAGAGAAGTATGTTCTAACTAATGAAAAACATATTAAAGATGCTGAATGATTGTGAACTGATAATAAATACATTGTTAAGAGCATTCCTGGTTTAGCTGCTTTCCCACCTAGCAATGCATCATCTTTCACACACAGAAGATTCATTCTGCCTACGTTCCAGGCAGATACTAAAATCACATTCCAAACCCAGAGATTTGTATTCCTGATTTAGTGGACGTCTGGAAATGAGTAGAAAGCCATTCCCTGTAGCCTCAAAAATTTTGCAGTAGTGTTAATTCCTGTTGGGTCTGATTCAAGAAAAGTATTGATGATGCTTTTTTTTCACAACTCCACAATGAGGCAGCGTTTCCCAGGCTACTTTTGATTCACAGAAAATCATTGCATAACTGGCTCATTGAGCTAGATATGTATGGAGGGAAGAGAGAAAGAAGTCACTCTTTTCATATTAAGGCTATTCTATTCCTTGTTCTCTTACTGGATGCTTACATTTAGCTTTACTTCTCTGAGTCTCAGTTCCCACATCTAAAAATTAGGCAATTCTTAGATTATTTAATCTATTCATTGTCGATATGTTGCCTGATGCCTATTGATGTACATTTCTTGGTTTTTGTTTTTTTTTTTTTGGAAAGTAAACATGGGACTGTCTATGGCTTCACATTTAAAATAATAATTATTTTAAAACCTTGCCATTTGTGTACTATATACATTTGCAAAGCTCTTTTACCTTCATTTTCTCATATAATACTCCCCATACTATAAATCAAATATCCGTTGCCCATTTCACGCATCTGAGACATCAAGTAATTCAATGCAATGGAGTTGGTAGGAGGCAGATCAGTATGATATAAGTCCCAAGTTCAATGCTCTTTCTATCTTCTTAAAAAGTTCATGCATGAGGGGGAGGTGTCAGTATTTGGTAATTTGGTTGTGTAAGAAATAACTCTGACTCTTGGTTTTGTTGTCATTCCTGCCCTAGGTGTTTGATATCAGCTGCTACCAGGAGTCCCTGGCCCCGTGCTTTTGCCTGTCTGCCCATAGCAACATCAACCAAATCACTGAAATTATCCTGGGGGAGACCAAAGCCTATGTGTTCTTTGAGCGGAGCTATGGGGATATGCATTCCTTCGTACGCACTTGCAAGAAGCTGAGGGAGGAGGAGGCGGCCAGACTGTTCTATCAGATCGCCTCTGCGGTGGCCCACTGCCATGATGGTGGTCTGGTGCTGCGGGATCTGAAGCTGCGAAAATTCATCTTTAAGGATGAAGAAAGGTAAGGTTCAATCTTTTGAGACTTGTGTACTGTGAGACCTATTCATGGAGGCTTGAGTAAAAAGCTAGAATGGATATTTTTCTGTATCTTGTACATGTTTTAGTTATCTAGTGCTACTAAAACAGAAATACCACAAGTGGGTGGTTTTAACTAACAGATTTATTCTCTTATAGTTTAGGAGGCTGGAAGTTTGAATTCAGGGTGCTGACTCTAAGAGAAGACTTTTTCTATTGGCTCTTAACACTTTGAGTTTCTGTGCCTGGATATTTTCACATGGTGTGGCTTCTACTTCCCCATCTCTGCTTCTTTCCTTGTTTTCATCTTTATATAGCAAAAGAAATTGATTGAAGATATACCGTATAATAATCCTTCCTCAATAGCATAACAAAGACAAATTCATTCCCCAATGGAATTATAGCCACAGGCATATAGGATAGGATTTACAGTATATATTTTGGGGTGGGGAGGCACATAATTCAACCCAGAACAGTTCAGGTGAGAGGAAATTTGGGAATACAAAGAGAAGTGAAATACTAAGTGTCCTTGGAAAAGAAATGGCCACCTTCTGTAAAGGTGAGTATTTAACTTACTCAGAAGGACAGATGCCCAGATCGTCTGTGACCCAGCAAATAGTATATGTGGTATTGGGGTGACTGCTAGTCTGTGTGACATTTTCAGTGTCAATAACTCAGGGTCTTGAAAACTATTTTCAGAGCACTTAGTGTTTAGAATCAGCGAATTATAATTCATTCACTATTTTAGCAGGTATTTCTAAGCCTATTTTATATATTCTGGTAAAAGATGAGGCTTTCTGCTTCTGTAAACACTTACAGCCTTGGAAATCTTATACAGGGGATTGCTATGAGACGGTCTGTTCAACTTGATGGTAGTGGATTGGTTTATGGTTTTTGTATAATGTATATAAATTACAGTTCTCAGGACTAGGAATATCAGCATGAATTAGATAATCAAATGAACTAAAAATAAAGTTTGAGGTATATACTGGGCATATAGTGGGTTATTTTAAAGTGTGGTGCTGCAGGATAATGCGCTAAACCCACAAGGACAGTTGGAACCAGTAGGTCTGCAGCTGCTCCTTGGAAACCTTATTATACAAGGTCCCTATGAGTTAGAAGTAACTCGATGGAACTTAACAACAACAAGTTCATAAGACCCAACTGTGATCATAAGTATATCCTACCTGAATTAGAGACTGTCTGAAGAATAGATTTGAGGGATTGAACACTAATACTAGACGAGTTGTGGATGGCATCAAAAACATTATACTAGAAGAAAACAAAAGATTATCAGAAAGACAGGAAAGAAAGAAAAGGCCAAGATGGATGCCAGAAGAGACTCTAAAACTTGTCCTTAAATATAGAATAGCTAAAGCAAATTGAAATAAATGATGAAATAAAAGAGCTGAACAGAAGATTGCAAAGGACAGTTTGAGAAGGCAAAGTAAAGTATTATAATAACATGTACAAAAGACCTGGAGTTAGAAAACTTAAAGGGAACAACATATCTGGCATTTTTCAAGCTGACAGGACTGAAAACAAAGTTCAACCCTCTAGTTGCAATATTGAAGGTTCTTTGGACAAAATATTGATTGATTCAGGAAGCATCTAAAGAAGATGGAGCTAGTACACAGAGTCACTGTACCAAAAATAATTGGTCTGTGTTCAACCATTTCAGGAGGTAGCATATAATAAAGAACCACTGGTATTAAAGAAATAATTCCAAGCTGCACTGAAGGCGTTGATGAACAATAAGGTTCTAGGAATTGATAGAATACCAATTGAGATGTTTCAACAAATGAATGTAATTCTGGAAACACTTACTCATCTATGCCAATAAGTTTGGAAAATAGCTACCTGGCCAACCAATTGGAAGAGATCTGTATTTGTGTCCATTCTAAAGGATGGTGGTAAAACAATGTGGAAATTATCAAACAATGTTAATATCACAAATAATTTAAACTTTACTGAGGACAATTCAAAAATAGTTGCGTCAGTACATATTACCAGGGAGCTGTCAGAAATTCAAGCTGGATTCAGAAGAGGGCATGGAATGAGGGGATATGATTATTGATATCAGCTAGATCTTGACTGAGAGCAGAGAGTACCAGAGAGATGTTTACCTGTGTTTTATTTACTATGCAAAGACATTTGATGTTGTGGATCATGACATATTATGGATAACGTTGCAAAGAACGGGAATTCCAAAACACTTAATTTTGCTTACTTAGAAACTACATAAACCAAGAGACATTCATTTGAACAAGGGGATACTACATGGTTTATAATAAGGAAAGATGTGTGTCAGCATTGTATCCTGTCATTCTACTTACTACTCAGTCCATATATGAGCATATAATTTGAGAAACTGGATTATATGAAGAATATAATAATAGGGTCAGAGGAATACTCATTAATAACCTGCAGTATGCAGATGACACAACCTTCTCTTGCTAAAAATACTTACTGATAGAGATGAGACTACAAACTTCAGTATGAATTACACCTTAGGATAAAGAAAATAGAACTCCTCAAATATGGTCCAGTAAGCAATATCTTGATAAACAGAAAAAATATTGAAGTTATCAAGGAGTACATTTTATTTGGATCTACAATCAATACCCATGGAAGCAGCTGTCAAGAAATCAAAGATGTATGTGGACCACCAAAAAGTCTGTGGGATAATTCTATTATCTTTCCATTCTTATTTTTTCCTGAAAAATTTCAACTGCCCAAAGATTGCATTGGATAGATCATCTGCAAAGGACTTCTTGAAAGTGTTAAAAAGCTAAGATGTCACTTTGAGGACTAAGGTGGGCCTAGCCCAAGCCACGATATTTTCACTTATCTCATAAGCATGTGAAAGTTGGACAATGAATAAAGAAGACCAAAGAAAAATTGATGCTTTTGAATTATAGTGCTGGCAAAGAATATTGAATATACCTATGGATTTCTAGAAGAAGGAACAAATCTGTTTTGAAAGAAGTACAGTTAGTATGGTCCTTTAGAAGGGAGAGTAGTAAGACTTCCTCATAAGTGCTTTGGCATGTTATTAGTGGGGGCCAGTCCTTGGAGAAGGACATCATGCATGGTAAAGTAGAGGGTCAACAGCAAAAAAGGAAGAACCTCAGTATCACAGTGGGGTCAAGCATAAGGATTTTTGAGGATGGCACAGGAACTAGCAGTTTTTTTTGTTCTGCTCAGAGCTTTGAACAGGTTTGACTCCCTGCTGAGAATTTGCTTTCCATCTGAGATACACTGAATCAGAATCAGAATCTACAGTTTAACAAGATCCCAGGAATCACCTGGGAAACTTGTTAAGCTGTAAATTCTGATTCTGTGTATTGGTAGTAGAAATGGAAACTTTCAGCAGGGGATTGAACCATAATGTGGAAGCCCTGGTTCTGTTGTATGTAGGGACACTAAGAAATTGACTCTGCAGCACCTAAAAACAACATCTGGGGCAGGTAAAGGCCACGGGATGGGAGAGAGGGGCAATTCATACTAAGTTGTGTGGGAAGTGATTTGGGAGCCAAAATTTAGGAGATGAATTTGTTATAGGCAATGTGAGAAGGAAGGACATTTCAGATGAGGAAACTGCCTATGCAAATGCATGCCATGTGAAAGTCTGTTATTTTAAGAGACTTCAAAATAGGATCCTGGGCTTCTGGGCTCCTTTCATGGTTCTTCCATTAACCCCTTACATTTTACTTAGACTCTAATGGATCCCTGTTTTCTCTTCCAGCTGACTTTGAGTGCAAAACCTTTTTTAGGTGGCTTTTTTTTTTTTTTAAGAATGTGTTCCTGTTAGGGGAGGCAATTCATTTATATTTATTGCTCACTGGATTCTGAGAACTATTCTAAAGGATTCACATACATGATGCCATGGAATTTTCATGACAGCCTTGGGCATTTTCATCCTCTACCAGGAATGAAGTCAGCAAAGTAACGGGTCTGTTGTTATGAATCTGATTAGAAGGCTTGTTGTTGTTGTTAAGTGCCTTCAAGTGGTTTTGACTCATAGAACCCTATGTAGGACTTCTGAGGATTGGCTGGTAAGTTTGAACTGCCGACCTTGAGGTTTAAATTGACCTTGTGGTCCACTGCATTATCCTGCAGTGCCACACCAGGACTCTGATTACAAGGCTAGTGCACTTCATTTAGGAGTCTCTGGGTGATGATTCGGATAATTATCACACTGCTGCTAAACAAAATGTTGGCAGTTCAGGTTCACCTAGAGGTACCTCAGAAGAAAAGCCTGGCAGTTGACTTCCAAACAATCAGCTGGTGAGAACCCATGAGGCATAAATCTACTCTGATACCATATCAGAGTTAATTCCACAACTGTCAATTTTTGTTTGTTTGTTTCCTTTCGTTTTGTTCAGTTTTTGTACTTCATTTAGTCATTACAAACCCTTTTGTGGGTCTGGCATAGATCTTGCTGTGAAACCTTTCTGTCTTCTAGTAGTTGGCCAGCCAGTCTGCCCAGTGACCTATAATATGTTCAGACTATTGCTTACAGAAATCTGATGGCATCAAAAATAGAGAGAGCCTAACAACAACAAAACGATGTGTGCTTTGATTTCTTCATCTCTGTGGTTTAAGCTAATTGGGAAGTAAATATCTGGGAAGCATTTTGGGATTAGCCAAGGAAAACGGCCTGTTGTTACTTAACCCAAGGGGCATAATTCCCCAGGCTTTTATAATCCAACTGAGTATACAAAGTGCAGAAAACCACTTGGCATTTTAGACCCAAAGAGGTTGCTTATTTTTCCATATTTTTACCCATTAAGGAGGACTGTATGGTGCTGTGGGTTAATGTGCCAGACTGCAAAAATCAGTTTGCTCCGAAAGGTCGGTGGTTCAAGCTCATCACCCGCTCCTCAGAGACCCTATACAGGGTCACGGAAGGGTCAGATAGACTCAACGGCACTTACCACCTACAACAAGGAGGACTATAAGCATCCATGGTAGTTCATGTAA